TCCTAAAATAGGCGTATAATGTGCAATAGTATTTCTTGCCTCTGAATGTGAAGTTTTTAATTTAAACTGGATCAGAATTAGTTTGAAATTTAAAAGATGGTTTGTGATAATCCTAAGAGGAGAGATATAAAACCCTTAATGATGAAAGTTACAATATTCCTTATAAAAGGTAATTAAAATTGTTATTGTTGGAAATAGTTTGTTTTCTGGGTAATGTTTAAAACTGATTTTGGTGGCATTTTAACAGTAGCTGGCGATTTTGGCACTGAACACTTTTGAGTAGAAACACTCCATTTCTCTTCAAACAAAGCCAAAGTACATGGATATTTTCCATCATTTTGGAGTAACTACCCTGCCTTTTTGTTTTGTAAATTCATGGAATCATTCTTCAGTGTGCCACCAACTGTTTTTTCTCGACTCAAAATATATTTGTTTCCAAATAACCAAGAATGTGCAGTAGTATAAAGTTTGGTTTTTAAAAACATTACACTTAAGCATTGTGGCTAAATTTTTAATTGAGAACTTTTGGCTAAAACATTTTGGAGTTTTTTAAATCTTGGCTGCAAACTAGTTCTTTGAGGAAAATTGTTTTAAAATGAACATAATTCTGTATATTGGGTAAAAATATGTTACAGATTGAAATTTTTTTCACATTAGTCTTTTGAGAGAGATCAACTTAGGTAAAATAAATATATAACACTATTTGTTAGTGTTCAGTTGACAAGGGGATGTATTCTGTGGATCTAAGTCAGTGTTTCTCCAGAAGCATGATTTTGCCTGCCAAAAGAAAGCAGCTCTCTTTGGCCAGAATGCAAAAATTATATTGCTATAAGAAAAGTTACAAGGGAAAGTTTGAAGACACAATTTAATTTTGGCTCAAAAAGTGAATTTGCTTAACACTGCTACATAATTTGGGTGAGGTTTCCTTCTTCCTGTTTCTCTTGACCTAGATAAATACATTTTGAGAAACCAAGATCTAATTAATAACAACCAACATTAAAACATAGCTGTGTGATTAAAATAAAAGGTGAGTGGTCACTTTATAATTAGCATTTCAGGGAATGAAATAAAGCAGGGAAGTAACACTGCTTTCAGACTGGAAAAAAAAGACTGAAGCTTAATATCTTAATTTATAAAACAATACAGTGAAACTGTTAATATTTTTCCCCCAGAATTGTATTTTAATGATTATAAACACATTCCAAATATTCAGGGACTTATTTATCAGAAAGGATTCTTACCAAATGTGTAAAAATAACATCCTTTAATTCTATAAATTACAAAATGGTATCAAGGTGGTTTTTTGTTTTTTAAGGACAAAATAGTTTTATATTGCTTCAATTTCTTTAAATACCTGCTGTTTCTTTTGAGACCAAAAATTTATAACAAGGAAATGAGTCAGCCTGATTCCAGCATTTTATTACCTTAAAGCACCATAATTGGCTTCTTTTAATGTGTCCTAATCCTTGGTTAAGTTAATGTGTATCTGATGTAAACTAGCTAAGTTACTGAATGCTCTAATGAGGGGAAAGAAAGGCATTTCTATGATTAAAGTGGAAAAAGTAGGACTTTCAGCAGGATTCATTACAAAAAGCTGAGATATTTAAAAATATGGGTTCTTTAGCTATCCAGTCATGTGAATGTTTGTTACATGTTCAATGGACATTAAAAATAAGTCACTGGACACCTGGAACTACCATCACATCAAAATGAAAGTGTTGAAAAGTAGAATATTTTTTGAATTAAAATATATTCAAGTTGATCCATATTCAAGTATTTTAATACTTCAAATTTGTTCTTTCCACATCTGTTTAAAACTATTGTTAAATGTTAGTATATTCTTTTGGATTGTGCCTTTGTGTTTGTGTCATGAGTCAACTGAGAAAAGTAGTCATAAAAATAATGTGAAAGTTACTGCCACAGCATGAATGTACAATTATATTAAATTTAACCCACAGAAGTCTGTTTTGATGTGCTTTATGTTATTAGATTTGTTAAAACTTCAGATCATTATCTCTCTCCACTTTGCCAGTTTGGGTTTGTACATATTTTCATTAACCCCCATGGTTATTTGAACATTTCCTATAAAAGTATTTCTTCTTTATATTGCTCTATAAAAAGTTGCATAATTTCCACTTCTTCTGTTGGATTTCCTAGAGAACAAAATCTCTCAAAAATAAGTTCTTCCTTTTCTGTACTAATTGTCTCAGATATCTGTATTCCTTTTACTGTCAAGAGACTTGATTAGAATATGGTAATTTTTCATTTAATTCATGTATTATCCAAGCACCCACACAAAGACAAGGAAAGTCTAAGCATTAAGGATATAGTACAGACAAAACAGTCCTAGCATGTGAGTACAGCAATGTATAAGGTCTACGAGGTAAAATATGAAACAAAAGGTAGTATTCTTAAAATAACCATTGTGTTACATTATATTTTAAGAGCCTTTAAGAGAAACATACTGTAGACAGGTTAAGATACACATGTAGATTGACCCCATATGTAAATTTAGATTGCTTTTTAAAAAGGCAAGCGATCTAGTAGCTTTAATAGAGTCAAGCATAATTTAGGTGGTCATTTTAGTATCATTGAATGGAACTTTAAAAAATAGATACAACTTAGGTGCATTTAAGACATCCAAACACTTCATGGCCTGTATGCTTAAAATAAGACTTGAAGGTAACACCATATCTGTGGCTGACTGCCAATCTATATTAGTTCCTCCTGACTACATCTGTTTTCAGCACAGAGGAGTCAGAGCAGTACAGTTCCAATTCCATCCAGACCTGCATTCCAGCTTCCTGCTTTTTATTTTTTTGTCAAATTCAGCTCAGATATCTCTTGGCAACTTTAGATAGGTGAGAGAAAAGTCTTGTTAGTAAAGTTCTTTCCAAATGTTCGCATAACTGCTATTCAAAAGAACAGAAAGGTACAAAATAAGACTGGTTGATTTTGTTTCCCTTGTTTTGTCCATGGAAGTGACCAAGTTTGAAACCAATTACTGAATAAATAGAATTCCAGTGTAATTATGTACCAAGACAAATACAGTTAATATTCATGAAAAGCTAATAATTACAATCTAACTTCAACATCTCAAAGATGCCTAGGAAGTTCAGGTAATTCTTTATATACTTTTTCTTTCCTATTATAATTTGCTTTTTATACCTGAAATGAATCCAACTCTAAACACAGGATATGAGTAGATGAATTATTTTACAATAGTGAAAATTTTCTCCATAATTAAGATGCACCAAATTTATATACTCAGATTGCTTTAGATGGGCACATTTGTGTTCAGTAAGTATATTGTCAATGACAGTGCAAATAATTACTAGGTCCAAAACAAAGAATGGCACAGATCTACATACAATGGCTCATTGTCTCTAATGAGGACATTATTGGGATCTCTCATGTATTTGTTCTTAATTCTTTTTTAAAATAAGGAATAGGTGGAAAAGCATTTAGTGGGGAAAATTTTAGGTGAAACTTTAGCCTAAATTAAAACTGATTTATGACATTTAAAAACAGAAAAGGGGCAGGCCTGACTTACACTGGGTGCTAAGAAAAACCAGGATCAGATTAAACATTTGTTTGGGGTGAATCACAAAACTTCATCCAAATTATTATTTAATATCTTGTTCTCAATCCTGATTATGCATCAAACCCCAAACAAACTGATTCCAAGTCTATAAAGTTGGGATCTGGGCTTCTGTTTTTAAAAGCTCAAAGGATTAATGTAGTAGACATTGTTGGTTGCCCACCTTTTTCTCTTTCTTACCAGAATCCTGATTTAAACAATTATCCATTCTGCCCACATGTGCCTCAGAGGACGAGAATTCTACTTCTAGCTCCAGTAAACTAGGCTGGCTTATGGGTCCTTTCAGGATAGGTCTAAGCTATTTTAGATCAGTAAGACCCAAGGATTTGGTGGCAAATGTGGGGAAAGCTTTTTTATATTAAGGGGCTGCTGGAATACAGCCTGACTCCTCCACTGCATGTAAATGAAGGTGTCATACACGGCCTGAACTGCTATTGGCAACCATTCCATGAAGGTAGCCAGCCTTAGGATGATGCCAATGCTGCAGTTGAAAACAGGAGGAAAAACCCGAGAGGTTCTTAATGACACTACTGAATCACTGGATCAAAAATACTGAAGCCGCCTTAGCTGGTTTGGTTCAGTAGATAGAGCACTGGCCTGTGGACTGAAGGATCCTTGGTTCAATTCCAGTCAAGGGCATATACCATATTTTTCCCTGTATAAGACGCCCCTCACTTTTCTAGCCCAAAATTAAGAAAATATTTTAAACATTTTGCTGGTTTTCCTCTAAAGGCCTTCTTTTTTGGATCTTAAGGAGTTGTTCCTGTTTTCTCCACTGTCTGATCATATACTCAGTGGGAGGAGGTCCAAATTGTGTGTCTGCAGCTCTATTTCCATGCTCTCTTGCATAGCTGATTACATTCAGTTTGAATTTTGCAGAGTAAGATGATCGATTACTGTTATTTATCTTATTTTTTGACACCTTTATGGGCTCTGAAAGCTCCGGTTCTGGTTGCACCTGTGCACTCTCCACTTCCACCTCCAATTAGGGCATTAGTTGATGTAACAACAAGGAAGCCTGTTTGACAAGGTATGGGCAGCTACGCACCTGCACAGGTCCCTCCTCAGTTGACTTCCATGTATAAGATGCCCCTCGATTTTCAGTCTAATGATTTTAGGAAAAAAATAGCATCTTATGGACGGAAAAATACAGTACCTAGGTTGCAGGCTGGATCCCTGGCCCTGGTCAGGGAGCATGCAAGAGGCAACCAATCCATGTGTCTCTCACATTGATATTTTTTTCTCTCTCTGTCTCTCCCCATCCCTTCTCTCTCTAAAAATCAATGGTTAATTTCTTCAGGTGAGGATTAACAACAAAAAATACCGAAGCCCAATGTATCAATACATTTTGTCATTTTAAGTTAAAATTTTAGTTATTTGAATCTGAAAGCAAGAGGGATCCCAGAACAGCATTCTTTGAACCATAACCATCTGTATAAAAACCACACAAACACTCCTTTGTACTTATTTAATATGCATATCTGAAATTGATTTACCTTTCCTCTTTTAACAAAAAATCTAAAATATAATTTGTTATATTTTTCTAATATTTGAGCTGAACTGTATTCAAAAGTTTATATTCATTGCATTCACTTCATTATTTACTCAAAGTTTTTGCTATAGGCTTTGTCTTGAATGTGTAAGACCATTCGCCGTGCATAGAAGTCCCTGTATTCCTCTGGTAATTCAGCCAGTGTTTTTAAGGCTCTGTCCAAAATTTGTGCAGCTCTTGATGCTGCTGTGAGATCTTTGTTTCCATAGGTATCTGTTTTATCATAGCATTCAGACGGAAGGTGTTTCCAAAAGACATTCACTCCCACTCCAAACTCTTCAGAAATTACATTATGGAACCATAAAGCTGAAGAAAAATTTTTAAAAAGTTAAAAATACAACCTACAGTTAAAAAAAAAATCACCAAAATGTCAGTGAAATATCACAAATTGCATATAACCAATGTAAGAAATAATTCTCGTAACTAGACCCCTTCGTTAGCACACTCCCAGCTTTTAACAGAATCATTTTAACTTTTATGAACTGCCAACCAATTTAAAGTGTCAATAGCACAAACCTACATTTAAAACCTTTTCAAATAGCAATTTTTCCTTTTTAACTTGAAAGACATAATAAAGTTATATTTGTTTTACAGATACGTAATTTGGAGCTGTATTTTGTGTTACTTGTTTACACTTCCTGAGTCACACAACCACATCAAAAGTATGTTTTGTACACAGAACATTTCAATTATTTGAGGAGTATATTTGACCTTTTCTGACTTAGCACAATACCTTTGTTCTCAAAGACTTCCTGTTCAAGCTGCAATTGCATTCTAACTTGCTTAAATTTGCATTCATTTAACTTCAGTTTTATATTTCTAATGCAATCATAATCGTATTTTTAAGCTCCTTTACAATCAATCTCTCTCTCTCTCTCTCTATATATATATATATAGAGAGAGAGAGAGAGAGAGAGAGACTGTTATGACCAGTCAACCGAACAACCAGTTGCTATGACCTGCACTGACCACCAGGGGGCAGATGCTCAACGCAGGAGCTGCCCCTCGTGGTCAGTCCGTTCCCACAGCCAACTTCCCGTGGTCCCTCCCCCTGGTGAGCCGGCCCTGATCGGCCCCTATCAACCCTGATCGCTGACCAGGCCAAGGGACCCCACCCGTGCATGAATTCGTGAACTGGGCCTCTAGTAAGTATATAAAACTAAAGCAAATACAGAGGTGGGCAAAAGTAGGTTTATAGTTGTGAGTATGCGAAAGTTTATTTTTGTGTTATTTATTTATTACTAGTAGCCCGGTGCACGAATTTGTGCACATTGAAAGGAAATTACTTAGAAGAAAAATTTTAATAGTGCTATTCGCCTTTTCTCTATAGAAGTGTCAACCAAATTCACAATCGACAATGACAGATCAAAACATGCGTGCAATTGGCGCCAGCAAGAGCTTTATATGTATTGCCATGTGCGAGTCAACTTAGCCTTTTATATATAGAAAATAACCTTGCTTAATTAGACCTGCTTTCTGATTTAACTAAACTTTTTCCAGCCCAGTGAAGCACCCCAACTTCTCTTTCAGGTAATTGTCAGCAACACAGCAGTAAATTATCAACACGAAGCAGATTATTATTGTAGACTAGAGGCCAGATGCATGAAATTCATGCAAGAGTAGACCTTCCTTCCCTCAGCTGCCGGCACTGGCGTCCCTCCAGCACCCAGGACCCGGACTTCTCTTCGGCCGCTGGCAGGCATCCGGGACCCGGGCTTCCCTCCAGCCCAGGCTTTGTTCAGAAGGTCATTCAGAAAGACGTCCGATCTAATTAGCATATTACGCTTTTATTATTATAGATTATGCAGGGAGAACAAAGGGTAAAATATTTAACTGCAGCAGTGTTTGACTATATTCTGCGCAGTGAAAAACCTAAAGTCATTTTCAAGGTCCACCATTTCTTCTTTTCAGCCAGGTCAAGTTTCTAAACTTTCTAAATCTCCATTTTCCGGCTAATGAAAAGAAAATAGGATTCCATTGAGTCTCCTATCTACCTACTCCAGGACTTCTGTGAGGATCACATCTACCTACTCCAGGACTTCTGTGAGGATCAAATGAGATGAGGCACGGGAAAATGCTTCACAGACATTTGGTTAAAGTGTAAAATGTTTGCACCTAGCTATAAAGCAAGTTGGGTTCCTGGGCTGAAGAAATTGCAAGGCTAGTCGCTAGAGAGAGGAAGCCGGGCATTGCTACGTGACGTCATCACCCGGCACCCACAGCCACCATTTCCAGACTAGGCTGAGCTGGCTGTGGGCCGCATTTTGTGCCATGGGTCTCAGCAGCATCACCTGCGATTTGGGGGGCTGTTCCTCTGGGGTGGTGGTGGGGCCTGTGTCCCCTTGGGTGAAGTCGAGTGTTGCTTTGTGGGCACCAGGTCCGTGGTGCCGTTTCTTTGTAAATGGCCAATGCATGTCATGGCAACTCCTGCACTGAGCGTCAGCCCCTAGGTGGTCAGTGCACGTCATAGCGACCGTCGGTTGGTCAGACACTTAGCATATTAGCCTTTTATAGATATCGGTTGTATTACAACTGTAAACCTACTTTTGCCCACTCCTGTATTTTAGTGGAGTGATCTTTTTCATATACATATAGCTGATTACTTTACTTTTACTAGAAGGTTTACATCTTTGTCTTCAATTGAGTAAACATTTCAAAATATAGGTGCTACAAGAATATTAAAGCAATACCACAGTATAACAAAAATGAAATAACTAATCACATCCAAAAATGTCTGTTAGTGAAAGGAAGATATTTAAGATGTTAAATTTAAAAACAAACTCAACAAATGCCCATAGGAAAAACAAAACCTTAAAGTGTTTTGATTTGCAAAACTAGTTTTTAAACATGGTTTTAATATTAGCCACTCTTTCTTTCAGAACCTTTTTTTCTTTATTCAATATAACAGGAAAAATTATAACCATTCTGTTAATTTAAATCCAAAGGTGGGGCTTTGCTTTATTTCAAAATATGTGCAAATGTTTAGTATTTCTGGACATTTTTTTCCTTTTTAAAAAGGTTGTACACAGAATAAGGGAAAATTACACAGCCCTTAATCATGCTCTAAAGATAAAAAAAAATTAAATAATGGCAATAGACCTAAAGACTACTGTGCTGGTTGTTCAATAAATATAAGAATCAGAAGTCAATGTATCAAACTTTATAGACAATCAATTATGTGAAGGACATTGTATCAAGCCACTTGGGGAATACAAAGATTAACAAAACATGGTTCCCTGTCTTCAAGGAATTTATAATCTATCTGCAAATGAGATCAGCATATTTTTAGTAATACTTTACTTAATTCTATCATTAGAGAGGTATTAATGATTTTAAAAATATTAACTTAGAAATGGGAAAATTATATAGACAATTTGTTAATACAACTATTTAATCTGAATTATGATTTTTATAAATTTCAGGTATTTACTTCAGAATAATCCTATATAATAAAAGGCTAATATGCAAATTGTCCCCTCAGGGGTTCTACCAACTGGGAGTTTGACTGCTCGCTATGACATGTGCTGACCACTGGGGGAGAGGTGCAGAACAAAGGAAGGCGCTGGCTGGCAGCTAGGGGAAAGAAGGCCCCAGCTGGCAGCTGGCAGCTCGGGGAAGGAAGGCCCCGATAGGCCCTGATCGCCAGCCAGGCCTAGGGAACCCTAACCGTGCATGAATTTCGTGCACCGGGCCTCTAATAATTATAGATGTTAATTATATCACTGGTTAGCAGCAACAACTAATGCCTATTTACAAAGAAATTAAGTAATACATTAAAACTGTAGAAAATAATAACACAAGATATCACAGGTGTTAAAGATTATAACGTTTTGATATTTAATAAAATCTCTAATCTATTTTGGCTATGAAATACATTTACCATTTCTTGGTAAATACTGAAAGTTCTAAAATACATAAATATTTTAAAAATAAAATGATTAAAAAGAACCAGATAGAATCTTTTCCCAGATATAAATCATCTTCCTTGATGTCATTTAATAAAGTATAATAATATATTTATATGTTGCCTTCAAAAAATAAGATTTAATTTTATAAGAATTTGCCAAAGCATACTTTAAAACACATACACACAATTGTATATAAAAATCATTTTTTATAGGCCAGCATACATATAACAAATATATTTTTGGACTAAAAAATCATATAATGGGTAAGCGATAGAGTACAGATTTTATAAATAGCAAATTACAGAGGTCCAGAAATCTTACCAGGAATGAATAATACATCTCCAGCGTTAAGGGAACATTCATACCTTCTAGCCTTGGAAAACAGTGGATATTTAGCTAAGTCTGGGTCATCTATATTCAGTACTTCTGATTTAGTACCTGAAATGTCCCAAAAAAGAATAATATATATTGAGCAAAGTTAGCCTTTTTATAAAAGTAATTACAAATATAAATTTGAAAATTTATTCTTTTCTGTATGACTTTCTATACCCTCACTGTGACAACAATTACCATTCTCCTGAAACCTAATACATTTTCCAGTGACTCATCCTTTATGTATGACCACTGCCATTCATGTAATACAATTAAGAAAATCTATAAATCTCATTCTTCATATAGCCTATCATTACATGTATACACATACACAATGGAACACAATACATTTTAATTAGGAAGAAGCACTAACATGTTTTTCTATGAGAACAGAGAGATGTCTCAAAAAAGAGTACTAAATAAATCAATCTTTAAAAACAAAAACTTGAAAATACCTGATAAATATAAATACTGGGCATCTCGAGGACTGAACAGTACAACACGCTTTTTTCCTGTCACTTGTATTAGGAAATTATCCATTACCTGGAAAGCAGTAAGAACTTATGAATAAACAGTATCTAAAATTCCCATAAACAAAACCAATGGTATTCCATATAGTGAACTGTAAATCCTATCCTTTAATAAGACTTGGCTCACATTATGTAAAATCTTCAGAGTAATGTTCTAATGTAACAATGAAAACATTTGTATTAAAAACACCACTGTTCATTTATGGAAGATATTTCTGTAGCATTGCCTTAACATGGAAAGGATTGGCAAGCCATTAGGAAATCTGTAGTTGCCTCACCATTATGACAGGGAGGATAGTGACACCTATTTGAGGCTCCCCGCTTTGGTTTTATTACTTATCTGTCCAGGAATGCTAGAAGGCCAGTACTCAACAACAAATGAAAAGCACCTAGAAATATTAGGTGTTGGAAAAATACAAGATACTGTGGCAACCACTGCTCTTTCAATGACTTAGTATATGGCCATAATTTGTTTATAGCAGCGGTCGCCAACCAGTGGTCAGCAGACCACTGATGGTCCACGAGGTCTGAAAGGTTGGCAACCACTGGTTTAAGGAAACCATTGGAGCAGCAGTCACCAACCGGTGGTCCGTGAGGTCCAAAAGTGTGGGGAGCTGATATAGGGTTAAGCCTCAGACTGACCTGTGGGCAAAGTCACAAACAATTCCCAGCTTAGAGGGCACAGTCCTCTTAGCATAATTAGGCTTGACCTTATGAGGCTCTCTAGATCTTATCTGGGAAGCTAATGGGCTGAGGGAAGTGCAGGAAGCAGGTAGGGGAGTAGGCCATTGAGTCCGCTCCAAAGGGGGTTTTTGAACAGCTCTCTTCGCCTTTTCACCAGGTCTTCCTGGAGTTTTCTTATCTTGTCTCAGACGATTCCAGATTTGGTGGCATAAAAATAGCAGCGTTCCTGTAGGGCTAAACATATTCCTCCCTGCTCTGCTATAAGTAAATCTAATCCTCTTCTATTTTGTAAAACTACTTCTGCCAGGGAGTCAATTTGGTCTTGGAGATCATTGATAGTACCTGAAAGAGCCTGAACATCATTAATTAATTGATTAGATAATTTATTATAGGTATGTAATGCGGTTCCTAATCCAGCTGTGCCAGTGGCCACAGCTCCAGAGACTCCCAGTCCTATAAGTAAAGGAATAAATTGGACAGCCCGCTTACTGCGTCCAGCAATGTAATCAAGGCTGGGTAGGGGGACACAAAAGGTTGGCAACTGCAGGTTTATAGGCATCTTAATTTTAAATTATTTCTATAGGACTATAACCTTGCAAATTTTCTTGACTGGAGCAATACTTATTACTGGAGCAATCATGACTCTTCCTGTGTATGCAAGGGTGCACTTTGTTGGTAGAGATTGTGAAAAATGTTAAAAGCCAGAGTGACATAATTCTCAACTAAACAATTAAAATTATACAAACAAGATATATTCATGATTATTTACATACTAGAGCAGTGATGGCAAACCTATGACACACGGGTCAGAGGTGACACACGAACTCATTTTTTTGGTTGATTTTTCTTTGTTAAATGGCATTTAAATATATAAAATAAATATAAATCTTTGTTTTACTATGGTTGCAAATATCAAAAAATTTCTATATGTGACACGGCACCAGAGTTAAGTTAGGGTTTTTCAAAATGCTGAGACGCCAAGCTCAAAAGGTTCGCCATCACTGTACTAGAGGCCTGGGCCCGAATTTGTGGGCGGGGGGGGGTTTCTCAACCTGGGCTGGCAATTGGGGTCGGATTGGCCTGCCGCGGGGAGGGGGGTCTGGAGGTTGGCCGTGAGAAGGCCCTGACCACCAGGGGGCAGCTCCTGCGTTGAGTGTCTGCCCCCTGGTGGTCAGTGTGCATCATAGTGACCGGCTTTTATATATATAAACAGATCATTTCTACATAAGCATTTTCCCTTTTACCCACCTTAATTTTGAAAATGAACTGTATGTTAATAAATATTGACTTTATAATCATTCAATGCCTGTATACCAGTTAGTAGCTCACTTAATTTGAAAA